ATGTGCGGCATGTGGTTTCCATGTGATAGTGTTCCACGGGTCCCGCCAAATGTCTCCACATCATTTCAAATATTCTGTCCATATATCTCTGGTTCTGTCTTGAATAATTTATCTGATTTATATCTTGGGCCAGATAAAATTGGGCTTTCTTGTACTGTTCAAATAATATTGGATTAGGAAAAATCCCTAATCCATATATATATATATATATATATATATATATATATATATATATAGGCACACACACATTCTCATTTATAAATACCTAAAGAAAGTAATTTATAATTGATTGGAAATAATGCGTGGCTCGGTCACATTTCCTAATTATTTACGAAGAACAGACCGAACTGGTTTATTAAAGGGGGGAATAAAAGAATATCCTGTGAAGGTTCTCTAGCATCTCCAAGGAGAGGTCTTCCACCAAGAAGGGTGGAGCCAATTCCCTCTTCCTCCCCACTTCTCTTTCTCTAGAAAGCTTTAGTGTATATATTCTCTTCTTCTTCTTCAAAAGCTCAAATGCTCCATTAATGGCTTTTACGTCTAAATTATGTATCGTGTACAACCCTCCGATATTATTAAAAAAATCTCCCGTTGGCAAGGTACCACCAAAAAAGGCTCGTGGTTTTCTTCCAATTTAGGTTTCCACGTCAAAATTTCATTTTTTATATTTTGGTGTATATTTTAAACTAATTTTTTGTTTTTGTATGGCTAAAAATAATATACCAGTCGATAATTTACACCATCAATATATATAGGGCCATGCTACATACATTTACACCAAAAATTGTACCCCATTTGTACACCGCAATTATACACAAACATTTTGATGGTTTACACCGATACAAGTGTTGGTGCGTTAACAAAAATTTACACGGACACAAAGTGTTGGTGCGTTAACAAAAATTAGTTTTACACCAACACCAAATGTCGGTGCAAACCTACGGTGTACAAAATTGGGTACAAAAAATTGACGTACAAATAGCTTTATCCATATATATATATACGAAAATTGAAAACAAATTCTTTCTCTTAAAGGGGTCAAGTATAAAAATCAGACGGAAAATGCTAGGGGTACACCAAAAGTGTACCCCAAACATCCCCACCCCCTCCATGACCACACAAAAAAGGCAAGAAAATTTCAAAAAAAAAGTAAAAAATAAAAAGAAAATAAAATGAATGATGTAGAGGGAAGTGGTGTACATTTGGCCAAATGAGACAACACTTTTCAATCTCAAAACTTTGCTCCGTATTTTATTTTCGAGACAGGAGTATTATTTGATGCAACAGGTTTGTACGACCCGTCAACTTCACATGTCATGTTACATGTTCCGTTACTATCTCGCCATTAGTGCAATCTTGGGGCCCAACCATATTACCTGTCAGCGCACCAACTTCTTAGGTCTCCAAGAGGGTTTTTAACATAAATTTAATACTCCTCCCTCCCTAAATTTTTTACTCGCTCCGTCCTAAAATTAATTTTCCATTTGACTTTTCACAGTCTCCAATGCGACACTTTGACTATCAATATCTTAATTTTTATATAAATATATTTTATAAAAATTATATATTTCAAAACTATGTTTCAAAATGAATCTATTGCTAATAAATTTATATGAAAATTAAATGTATTTTTTCCGTAATATACGGTCAAAGTTTAAAATATTTGACTTCAAAAGTCAAACTGAGAAGTTAATTTTAGGACGGAGGGAGTACAAAATAGGAATTATAATGTTAAATCTCATTAAATTTTTAAACGAATTTATTTATAATTTGATACATTAATAAGAAATTAAAATTATATATAAAAACTTTACGTTCAAAATTCTACAAAATTAGATGTGAAATGATATTTTATATTATTAAGTAAGCAATGAAAATACATAAATAAACAAAAGTTACCGAGAGGTGAAAGAAACTAAAATTGAGGACGAAGGAAGTATTTCCTTCATTGCTAAAAAAAGATTACCAGAATTTGATTTTTCAAATCAAATTGTGGCACCATTTGACCACAAATTAAATATAGTTTAAAACAATTAAATATTCTAAAAAATTGATATTTCAAAACTATATATTAAAATAAATCTAATTTGACTAAATTTACATTATAACTAAATATACTTTTTCCATAATTCACAGTTTAAGGATGTCACAATTTTACTAAAAAAGTCAAACTATGAAAATTTTTTAAGGACAAAGATAGTATAATGCATAAAGTTTCAAAAAGCCACTTTCATAATTACGGAGTAAAAAATATATTACTTCCATTGTCCCTGAGTATTTGTCCACTTTTGACTTTTTTAGTCAAAATTAGTAAACTTTGACCTCAAATTAAATAAAAATGATATTAGATATTGATACAAAAAGAGTTTTATTAAATTTATTATATCAAGTATTTTCAAAATCTTATTTTATTTAATTAAAATATAATATATATTTTATTTAATTATAGGTCAAAGTTTAAAAATAGTGGACCGAAAAAAGTCAAAACTAGACAAATACTCAGGGACGAAGGTAGTATTAAGTACTCCGTAATTAGATGTAAGAGTAGGGGTGGACAGGGTCCCGGTACAAAACCGCCATAGGCGCCGGAATCGGCAATTCCGCCACTAGACCGAAGACGAAGACAATGATACGGTTACGGAAATCACACACAGAATCGGTGGACACCGGTCGGATTCTGGGTCGAATTTTTAGGTACCGGAACTGTAGGTACCGGTTTCGATTCAATTTTTTTTTCTTTTTCCTGGCCGAACGTTGGGACTTGGGTAATGGCTATAAAGCTGTTGGGGGTGGGGGTGCGGGGGTTTAATTACCTATATATACCCCTAAAAAAATTTTAAAAATTCACAAATCATATTCTCTCAATCTCTCTCTAAATCTCTAATTCTTCTCAATTCTCAATATAATCATATTTTTATATTTTTTATTTTTGTATACTATAATCATATATTATAAATGAACACCGTGTTAGGAGTTTTTTATAATGCAACTCTTACTTTCTCAAATGTTTACAAACCTACGACAAACAGATTTTTTTCTGAGTATATTACAATTGCAACATGTTTTCGTGAAAGTTTATCTGAAAGATAAACGGTGTACTTATTACTTATATATTTCTGATATTTATAAAACTGGTATTATTTGTGATCCACGACATAAAATTAATTATTTTAAAATTCTCATGGAGTATTACTACAATTGATTTTAGTTGAAAATATTTATTTTTATGACCATTTAGTAGAATGGACAAAAGATAGAGATAACGCTATCGATCTTTTTGAGTCATTACTTAAAAAATTTAAAGTTTTGTACGGTAATGCACCAGAAGAAAAAACAGCTCCTCCGCCTCCCAAGACAAAAAAGGTTTTAAAGGGATAGTCGGTGGCCTCTTGGCAAAAAAACTCAAGCGCAGTTCTGCCTCAATGAGTTCAGATGGTTTAAGTGTAAGTTTGCACAATGAACTTGCGATGTACCAAGGGATCCCATGCTAATATGATGAAGACAACGATAGCGAGTCTGACATCTTCGAATGGTGGAAACGGAATGAACACATGTTCTCATTTCTTGAAATGCTAGCCAGACAAGTCTGATCCATGCCGATTTCAGCTGCAGCTGCGGAACAAGGGTTCAGTTCTACCGGTAACATTCTAACCGACTATCAAGTTTAACACTTGTTTGCAACTGACATTCGCTCTTGGAAAGACGTCGAGCTCAAGAGTCGGGGTATGATATTGATACACAAAATTACATGGATGCAACCACAGAAGGAAGTGATAGTTCCAAGAAATAAATTTGCATTCTAATTAGTGTTTTTTAGGTGAGCGATTTGTAAGCTCCTTCGAAGGTTTCTTTACAATTTTTTACCTCGTTGCTTTTTTTGAACCATCAGGATATTAAATATAGTTGTTTTTATGCTATTTATTTTTTATTATTTAAATAACAACTACATTCTTAGAAATTAAAATTTATAAGGACATTTAATTTATTTTACACTTATAGATTTACAACTAAGAAAAAAAGTGAACCGCCGAAACCGGCCCAAAAACGGCAACGGCACCGTGACAACCGGTATTGGTAACCATGCTATGAAGCGGCATAATTGGAACTGGCGGTTCCGGAACCGTACCGTGTTTACCCTATTTAAGAGAGATGAGTTGTTAAAATGTTATTGAATGGGAGAAGTGGGGCACGACGCCATCAGCTTGAGCCATTCTTTTTTTTATTTTTTTTGCTGATAGCGCCGAAAGGGAGGGCATTAATCAACGCCGAAGGGGCCCCAACCTTGTCAATTTTTTTAAATTTTAATTAGAGATTACGGAAAAAAATTGAATGATGATTTAAATTTAATATCAATAAATTAATTTTAAAATATAATTTTGAGAAATTATATTTCTATTTTACACTCCGTAGATCTATTAAAAAAATACAGATATTGATAGTCAAAAATTAAATTCTATGTCTCTAAATCATTTATACTTCACGCAAAACAAAGTAAAATTTTAAGTTTTTTTTTCAATTTGTTTTATTTAGAGATTGACATATAAATAAGCAATAAAACCTACATACTTAAAAAGTAAATTAAAAATTCCACAAAACAAGAGATTACTAGAATATTTTATTTTATAAAACAGTCAATAAAAATATACAAATAAATAAAAATTCTTATAATTTTCGAACAGTAAATAAACTCATTTAAAGAACAGAGGAAGCGTTAAAGAGGAATAATCAAAAGAAAAATTTCAAACAAGATAGGAGATTTTAAAACAAAGATGTTACTAGAAGTTTGGAAAATACTCCGGTCGGACGGGGGGGGGGTGTTTGACTAGGGACAAGTGGAACCTGGCGCCTTTGGGGTGACGACCGCAAAGCCCAATCCAGGCTGACTGGAACATTGCTCAGCACCACATAAGACGGTTCAAATCTTTCATTGAACGGTAGGTGTTGAATCTTTGGACAACAACAAGTTGTTATAAATACCCGGAGTTCGTTGAACATCATGGAATCACAGCCACATTCATTATTCCCGATTCCCCAAACCCGGCCACACTTCACGCGCTATTTACGTAAGGAGCAGTATCCCCATATATATACACCGGGGTCAGCATCCCGTTGACGACATGGCCACGCGCCAGCGCCACCTCTTAATCAAGAACCTCCTCTCCCGTTACACCCTGCGCCGCCTGAACTCAGCTCCGTCATCCATCTCCGCCGCCGCCTCCCCGCCGTCTGACATCTCCCGGAAACCCGATCCCGTCCAGATCCTCGACTTGGACGACGTCAGGGAGATCTTCTCCTCCGTGCCGACCCTGAAATTGGTGAAATCCTCCGCGACGCTGCACATGGCGGCGGTGGAGCCGCTGGTGGACGTGGGGAATTGGGTGATGAATTCGAGAGCGATGGAAGTTCCGGTGGTGCGGGAAAGCATCCTCGGGGTCGTCAGGCATTTGTTCTACGACCATTTCTGTGGGGGTAGGGATTTGGTCGAAGTGGGTCGGACCGTTTCCAGGTTGTCTGACTCCGGTCTAAAGGCCATGTTGGATTACGGTCTGGAGCATGCGACGGATAACAAGTCGTGTGATCTCAGCTTGAAAGTCATTCTTGACACTGCTGATTCGGTCAACTCCCACCCCTCTTCTTCTGTAAGTCTTCTTTGTCAATAATTATAAGGGACCATTTATGAAATTCACTCTACTTTTTTCGATCTCATTTCAATAATGTAATCCTAAAAAATGGTACAGGTAAGTTTCATAGTGGTGAAGATAACTGCAATTTGTCCCCCAAGGTTAATTAAAAGAGTGAGTGATTTGCTGAGGTGGGAATATAAGAACCCATCTTTCCATCTCCCATGGAAGCAAAAAGCACTTCCAATTTTCTCGGAGTCCAGCCCACTCTATCACACAACAAGGGAGCCAGAGCAGTTGAGCCAGGAGGAAGAGCATGATCTTGAACTGGGGCATCAGAGGCTGCAGAGGATTTGTGAAAAATGCTTGGAGGTTGGTGTCCCAGTGTTGATAGATGCAGAGGACACAATGTTGCAGCCTGCCATTGATTATCTGGCTTACACTGCAGCCGTTTCGTATTATAAGGGCAACGAGCCTCTGGTTTTCGGAACGGTTCAGGCCTATCTGAAAGACGCAAAGGACAGGCTGGTGGGTACAAAGAAGGCTGCCGAGAAAATGGGGATTCCTATGGGGTTCAAACTGGTGAGAGGAGCTTACTTGTCAAGTGAAAGACGACTGGCTTCTTCTCTAGGTGTTGAGTCTCCAATCCACAACAACATTCACCAAACCCATGCCTGTTTTGATGATTGTGCGTCTTTCATGCTTGACGAAATTGCGAATGGCTCTGGAGCAGTTGTTCTGGCCACCCATAATGTTGAATCAGGTAGAGGGGTTATATTTTTCTTGAATTCTCCTGCATTTTGTATGCATTCAGTTGGTCAGTGGGGTTTGAGTGGGAAGTTTTCTTTCTTGTTGGCAGGGAAACTAGCTGCAACGAAGGTAACAGATTTGGGAATCAGAAAGGATAGCCCAAAGATCCAGTTTGGTCAGCTGTATGGAATGTCAGATGCACTTTCATTTAGCTTAAGAAATGCAGGTTTTCAAGTTAGCAAGTACTTGCCTTTCGGTCCCGTGGACGAAATAATGCCATATCTTCTGAGAAGGGGAGAAGAAAACAGAGGCATGTTATCTGCTTCATCCCTTGACAGACAACTCATGAGGTACATTGCTGCAATTCCTTCACAAACACACAAATTCTTGCACTTCTGTTCATGTCAAGTTCATATATGATTAGCTGTTTATGCTGTTTCCAGGAAAGAGATAAAGAGAAGATTACTATCAACTATTTTTTAGCCCCAAGATGAAGAAAATTTGAAGATGTGTTTCCGCAATGATGATCAAGATCCCATAAATCCTTTCATCACTACATTGCAAAAAATGTGATTCAGACAAAAAAAATGCATTATTGCAAAGTGCAAACCAACTGTACCATGTTATGTAATGGTCAAATCCTTGTGCAGTTATGGATCACATAGAAGATTAAATTATTCAAAAAAGAAGTAATCAACAATCTTGATGCGTCGTACATAATACATATTACACTATTGATGATCACAGTCACATAAACGCTACAAGAACATATTGCATTTTACTCAATACTCAGCTCAGTGTCTGGTATCCTAAAGGCCCTTGTCCTCCATCACTACGCCTTGTATCATTCCTCTTCATTAGAGAAGGTACCCAAGGGAACAACTTCCCTAGTTCCTTGCCTACGAAAAGCGATTGCTTGTGGTCAATTCCACATTTTGCCCGTTCTACTGCTTCCATTATATCTTCTCTCGAGACACATTCAGCCCCTGTGAGAGATAAAAGAACAAGAACTGTGACCTTGAATTTGTAAGCCATATCATGCACTTCTGTACACCATATGGCACTGTCATAGCGAAGCGAATTGGAATTACAATCATCATTTTGATGACCAAAAAAGATATTTCACAAATTTAGTATACCTTCAGGGAAAGTAATAATGAAATGATGCACCATGTCTACTCTTACCCATTTCTGAGAATGTAAAGGACTAAGAACAATACGTACTTTGTATTTGTGTGCAGTCAGCTTACATGACGAGCATTGTTGTTAAACTCTTTTCCTAGATTTGTTAAATTTTTTGACTGGATATGTTTTATAGTGCTTAGATCCCAAAAAATTCCACCAAAACCCTCATAATCCCGGCCCCATCCAAGAACTACCAACATTGATGATGAACATGTATGAAAGACAAGAATTGAGGGTAGAGATTAGAGCAATTAGAAACTCTGAACAAACAAAACACGTATAGGGTATAAAGCTAACCTCTTCGAGAAGCAAGGAAGGCAGCTTCATTGACAATATTAGCAAGGTCAGCACCTACTAAGCCTTTGGTAAGAGATGCAACTAAACCACATATAAATTCCATATCTTCCTCAAGGGGTACTCCTTTAAAATGTACAGCCAAGATCTTTCTCCTCCCATTTTCATCTGGTTCTCCCACAAATATTTTCCTGGAGAATCGCCCAGGTCGACAGATCGCTGCATCTAGAGCTTCTGGCCTATTTGTTGCAGCAATAACAATGACATTGGCATCGGATTCAAATCCATCCATCTCTGTCAGTAGCTAGAGAAGTGGAAAGATTGTTAACTAGTACCCAAAAAGTACTAACATAAAAAAATTACTTCATATAATGCTTTTGCCTCACAGTTGAAAGAGCAGAAACAGGCAAATCATTGTGGTTTTCTATCTTAAATGCCACTCAATTAAGGCATCGAAAACTAACCACTACTTCATAAGAGAATTTGTGTACCTGGTTCAATGTTTGGTCTCTTTCATCATTAAAACTTCTGCCACGCTTTCCTCCAACAGCATCAAGTTCATCAATGAATATGATAGAAGGGGAGTTCTTCCTTGCAGCTCTAAACAGCTCCCTTATGCGAGCTGCTCCCCTTCCTACAAATAGTTCTACAAATTCACTGGCAGAAACAGGAAAGAAGGGCACTCCTGCTTCTCCAGCCACTGCCCGTGCTAGCAGTGTTTTTCCTGTACCCGGTGGACCAACAAGTAGCACCCCCTTAGGTAACTTTGCTCCAAGTTTACTGTAGTTTATAGATCCTTGCAAGCACATGACTATCTACAGACAATAGAATGCATGGTTACTACTTAGTGATCTTGACAAGTAGACGGTTAAATGGCTAAGAACGTTTAATGGGTTCACATGTTGAAATTTGCAGAATAATCAATATCGACGTCTCGGGAAAAAAGAACCATTTTTGTAATGCCGGATATACTTAACAGGCACAACATCCATGCACCTTGTGAGGCATTTGGCCTTCACTTTCCTCATGTTAGGTCTACTTTACCATTATTTTAACAAGGAAAAATACAGAAATGAGTTTATTAAACCCTCCAAAAAGACTTGGATATAATTCATGGAGACTTACTTCCATAAGTTCCACCTTTGCAGTATCCACACCCTCCACATCACTGAAGTTCACTAAGTGGTTAGCTGGTCTCCTTTTTCTAGCTGGAATGTTTGCAGCATACATTTGACGGTAGAAAAGCCACATCAGAGGAGTCAAGGGAATCCATAAAGACAAGGCGGTAATCAACAAGCTCCTCATTAAAATAAGTGCCGATTGAGGGGCTGAACCATATGATGTGCCCTTTTCTCTGATTAAACTAAGAAGATAACCTTCATCATGATCAACTTTTCTAGTTGAAAACTGCCAAACAGGTCCAGACCTACTGGATCCTGACAATTTTTGAAGGATATTATTTCCAAATTCATGACTGCTCACGATTATGTTGCTTGCTTCATTACCAACTATACTCCCAGATGGAACCATTATCCCATCCTCAGTCGTTTTGGTGTTTTTGGCATTTCCAGTTTCAGACTTTGTATTGTAGTATATACGACGAGTGCCTTCCTCAAATTGAACTTTAGTTACAGAACCATTCTGAAGGCCCATTACCAAGTCCGAATATGGAACGGATTTTGGGGAAGGCATGGCAGTGAATCTCAGAAACAAAAAACACATGCCAAAGATGAGAGAAACAGATACAGATAGTGCCATTCTCATATTCCCGCGCAGGAATGTCCCAAAAATTTTCAGGAATGACTTGATGGAGAAATTTTTCATTTTTCTTGACAATAATCGCAATCTTGGGCGCAATCTCAAAGAAAACCTCCTCCTCATTTCATTACTATTCCTTTCCCTTAAATGGGTCCTCCCTAAATTTCTCTCCTCATTTAGTAATGACCTAATCTCTGTGCTACAGAGAAATAATCTTCTTTGAGAATTACAGAATCTATGATTCAACCCTAAGAAAGGGGCAGGAAATGAAGCACCAAAATTGGATAATGAGTAAGATAGAATGCTATTTCTCCCCAAACATTTTGGCTTTCCAATATGAAAGTTCCACTTTTCTTGTAAAGACGAAAGCCCTAAATTCGAGATAACAGGAAAAGATGACATTTGGTCTATAGCGGACAGAAGAGCTTTTCCATAAATCCTAGAGAAATCACGTGCACAAGGCAGAGACTTGTTTCAAGAAGCGGAATCAGAAGAAGACGCAAAATAAAATCCGAGAAACTCACTCATAGTATTCGAGGGAGCATCTCAGACTCAGCTTGATCTTCGAGCTGGAAGGAGTGTGAATGAAGGAACCACTGAAGCAGGAAGAACAACCGTCTGAACGTTGGGTGGCAGCGGCTATTGAGAAGATTGTACTCAATCCATGAAGTATGACTGTATTTCATCTAGAGTTCTAGTCGTGTTAACCGCGTTGGGTTTGGGACAAATTATCCTGGCTCGGGCCATTTTTCTTTGTCATTTTAGATTTTTTTATTGGAAATATTATCTCAAATAATCCATCTTTTAGTACTCTTTCAAAAATAATCTCACTTTTTACTCTCATCAGAAACAATCACACATTCACACCTTTACGCATGTATTTGAGTTTTAGATCGCCGTTAAAAAACTAACAGTCACTTATCGGAAATTTTGAAAAATGCCCGTTTTTCGCAAATAAATGAAAAGTGAGATTATTTTAGATAAATTCTCCCTTTTTCGTTTTTTAATTTCTAACTTTAAATTTAAATGTATTTTTATTTTATTTTTTTGGAAAAAAATGCCAAATTTAAGTATTTTTACAGTGAAACTAATTGTTTTTTCAATAACCAACAATCTGGTAATAATTAGAAAATAAAATATTCTACACAATAGAGATAATTTTTTACTGAGTAACTTCATAACTAAAAACATTTCTTTTGTAAGTTGCATTTACTCTATTTTGTTGGAACACGGGTTTATGCCTACGTCGTACTAAATCGTGTTCGTTGTATGACAGGTTTTGATAATGCCAAACTGCCGTGACAAGAGCAAAACCAAGGCGAAGGATCATGGCATGATGATTTGAGAACCAAGGACCAAGAATCAAGAACGAAGACTTAGAATTGTATTGAGTCGGTCTTAATGTGATCAAGACCGGCACAAACTTTCAAAACTTGGCTCTCTAGGCTCATCTCATCAAAATATTTTCTTTCATATTCAAAATGTTTTTCACATGTTTTAAACTCGCCTAAAAACACTTGGAGTTCGCCCAAACCAAAAACCAAGCCATCCGGCGTTCGGCTTTCAGAAACCGGCGTTCGGCTTTCGGTTATCGGCGTTGGTTTTTGGTGTCCGAACCAACCAAGTGGTTTTCAACTTTTTATAATTGGCTTTTACTTCTGGGCATATTTAAATAGTTCTCCAACAAAAACACTTCAAAAACCACCTTCCATTTTTGGTCGTTTAGTGAAAACAATGCGAATCGCCGCAAACTTGGTTAGCCGTGGTTTTCAATTAAAAGACGTGGTTTTTAAGATGGTTTACTTTATTTCTTAGCAAAATGCAATAAACAAATGTTTTCAATACTTGGTTTTTATTTTGGAGAACTTACATTTTTGACATCGGCTAATGGCATGACTAAACCAACCATGGGTCTGGCTAAACCAGCCCAACAGTGATGTTGGTGAAACCGACAGTGTGCTGTCTGGCTTGGGTAGCTGAAAACCATGTTTTGGCTCTAAGTCTTCCAACAGCGATGTTTGATGTTAGACATCGCTGTTGAGCCAAGGTTGGGTTTCCAGAAACATCTGGAACAGCGATGTAGACCACCCTACATCGCTGTCCAACCTAAGCCAAAAAGAAATGCTTCTGGCAGAAAGATTTTAGATAGCGATGTTGACCCAGCAACAACGATGTTCAAGTAATGAACATCGATGCAGGGACCTGACCGTTGGAAGGAATTTAAGGCTAAAACTTTCCTTGTTTGGAAGTCAACAGCCAAAACAGCGATGTATGGGCATTGGACATCGCTGTTGTCATGACCGTTGCTTCCCATTTTTCAAAACCCAAGCCTAGAACAGCGATGTCCAAGTCTAGGACAGCGCTGTGTGGGTGAATTTCAGCAGATCCAAATTTAATCAAATCCCACAAATTATGCCAATCACCCCTTAAATGTTTTGATCCGTTGGAGCC